TATTGTCACAATGTTTGTTTAAACATTCCTTTCTGGTTACATAAAATCCTCTAACATTTCAATGACAGAACACAGTATCCAAGAGTTTCGGTTACTATTGTTGGTTATCAAATTACCTCAGAACTTAACAGCTTAAAACAACCATTGATTTTGGCCATTATTTGTGGGTCAGAGATTCAAGAAGGGCTTGACTGGGCAATTGTTGCTTGGATGTCCCATATGCAGTTGCCATCAGATGTTGGCTGGCTCTGCGGATGACCAAAGGCTTCGTGGGACTGGACATCCAAGGCAGCTCCTCACAGGGCCACAGAACATGCTGGCTGTTGGCCACTTCCCTGGCCTCCCCAGCAAGGCAGTCTTAGGGCAGTTAGACTTTTACATGGTGGCTCCGTGTAGCTCAAGGCCCCAAAGTGTGAGTGCTTCAGCAGACGAGACAGAAGCTGTATCCCGTTATGACCTTGCTTGGAGTTCACACAGCCTCCCTTCCGTTCATTCAGGGCCAAGGCAGCTGTTCCCACCGTGGGTGCTCTGGTTGCCTTCCTCAGGAAAGGCGTCGAGCGCCCTTGGTGAGGCCTGATCACCGCTCAACCATCCCTGGCCCTGAGGGGTTTTTCCCTTTTTCTTAACGGAAACTTTGAAAAGTAAGCAAACATTATTTCCAAGGGAGCCTTCTGACAGATTTTGCCACACTACCCATGCCCAGAGACGGCTGCATCTCACCAACCATCCTCCTTTTCTTATGGACGTGCTGAGAGAAGTTTTAGCTGAACACATGGCTGCCAAATGAGGCTCCACTTCCCACTTCCCTTGTTAGCACGGGAACCAGACTGAGTTCTGGGGAGCGCAATGTGAGGGAAGATGATTTGTATGTACACTGGTTTCATCCTCTAAAGAGGCTTTCCCTCCCTTCCCTTTCCCCTTTCCTGGAGGCTAGAACCAGGGCACCATTTTGGCTAGGAGCTGGGAGCCCTGTGTTGAAGATGGTAGAAGACAAAAAAGACAAAAGAGGAGACTGACTTCCTGGTCCATCTGTCCTTGTCAATCAGCATTTCTGGGGCTGTGTGTGGCCTTGAAGAATTTCTGTTGTCATGTGTGACCCTGCGAAAGCCTAGCCCCCTGGAGCACAGTAGGATGGATTTCTCACACAACCCACTAGGGTTAGGGGCCCACAGGAAGTTTGATTCTGCCCCTCTCCAGGTCAGGGTCCTTATGCATTACCTGAAATCTCCCCATCATCCTGCCCTCTCCAAATCCTCCCTGCCATTGTCACACACTTGTCTTCCAGGCACAGTGTGTGGCAGAGCTCCCTGTAGTTGTCCACACAATCACTTCCTTCTTCCTTAGCAACAGAAATCTTAATTTAATCCAGGTGAAAAATGACTTTCTCCCATGTCTTTTGCTGACAGTTGGGCCTGTCTGATCAGTCCTGGCCAGGGATCTGTGACTAGGAGCCTCTGTGGGCTTCCAGGAGAGCAGAAGCTAGCTGGCGTCTTCCTTTTCCACTTCTTGCTTTCCCTTTCTTCCTGCTTAAAATGTGAGTGTGATGGCTGGACCTACGGAGCCCAGAAGTGACACCTGCCATGAAATCCTCGCAACAAGGAGGGTGAGACGAGACATAAGAAGGCATCAGGGTCCCGAGGGCGTCGGGAACCACCATGCCAGCGCCAGACTATCTACTCTCATTCCTGTCAGGCCCTAAGATGCAGGCTTCCTGCTAGCTGCAGCTGGATCTAACTCTGGCACACTGTCTTTCAGATGAAGAGCCAGACTTCAAGTTAGCCAAAGGAGGCGGTAGGGGAAGTGTGACAGCCTCGGAACTGCCAGGCCTCCTCTCTAGCAACCTCCCTGACCACCCCCCGATCCTTGGACATTTGTGCAGGGTGCGTAAGTATGAGGGAGCCCAGGTGAACACTAGGGAAAGAAAAACAGTGGAGGTGAGGATCCCCATAGGATTTTGTTAACGTTGCTTCCACACATACTATAAGTAGTTAATCTTCACAACCATACCAGGAAGAGGTTCTGTTAGTCCCACCTCACAGGAAGGGGCTCTGGCAGGACAAATGAGTAGTCCTGAGTCAGCCACGCAGGTGGTGGCCCCAAAGCAGGAGCCAGCCCAGGCCCCTCACACTGACTTCAACCTTCAGGACTGGTCTTCCTGCTTCGGGACGGGAGATATGGCCCCTGACGTTGGCCCCAAGTATAAACTCCCTGAAAGTTGACCAGGGCTAGAAAGTGGGTGGGTGGGAGAACAGATGGAAGTTTAAGGACCCCTCTGGTGGTAAACCAGTGACCTCTATCTACAGAGATCCCATCAGGAAGTCTGAAATCCCACTTTTGTTAAAGATATTTTAAAAAGAGGGCAAGCTTATATATTACATAAATTTATATAAGTGCTAAAAACTTAGGAGCTAAACATGTATGTCTGTATCTTTATGGGTTTTACTAATACATATTTTATCTATTTATGCATATATGTGATGAAGAAGTCTGGTAGATACACAACTAAGGTGTAACACACAAGGGAGAGTGCAGAGTATGGATGTTATTGTGTTTTCATGTCCTAAAATGAACATGTAATAAGAAAAAATCAAAAAATGATACATTTTAAAAGGGGTGCTTTGTGTGTAACACGCTAAATGTCCTCCATTCCCACCTCCTGTCCTGCTCTGAGGGGCTGGGCTTTGGCTCAGTTTTCCCCACAACCCAAAACTCGTAGGGCCGGGGACTTCATCCAAGACATTTGTCTACACTGGGGACGACTCATCCACAAATGAGATCCCGCCAGAGTGACCCAGGTAAGAGAGGACTCAAAGGCCAAGGGACTGTGGAGGGAAGGCTGGAGGGAAGGCAGAATGGCTGTCCTGAGCCCTCAGGGCCGTGAAGAGAGCAGGAACACGAGCAAGAACGACAGGAGGACAGCAGGAGGTAGGGGAGGAAGGGGTCCTGGCACAGGTGGAGGCAGAAGCAGGATGCAGCACCAGAAGCGTCAGGGTGGAAGGCCACCTTTTTGGAATTATATCTAAATCTCCAAACTTCGTTAGCCGACTTCTCGTGTTTAATGACATGGTGCTTTTCCATTTGGCATTTCTATTGCTTTGTTATCCCCAGGAGCAACAGGTTTCCTGAGGTGGAAACCACGCACACATGACCACCACCTGAGGATGTCTTGACAAAGCAAATACCAAGGGACCCCTGAAATGTTCCTCACTTCAGGAGGAACCTGAGAAACCAGGCTGTCTTGTGTCCTGGCACCCACAGGCCTCAAGCCCCGCTCCTCCCCTTCTTCCTCCTGCCTCTCTCCTGGACCTCCCCCCACCCGCCCACCACACCCACCACCCCTGGCAGGAGACTGCCCGCTGCCCAGGGGCCTGAGAATCCAAGAGAGGCTGGGGAGGGGACTCGAGGAAGTCAGTAAAGGCCAGAACGGAGCAGTCCAGTGTCACACGGCGGCAACACCATGGTTCCATTCCAATCCTGGTGCTGCCCCCACCATCTGTGTGACTTTGGGCAAGTTAACCTCTATGTTTACTGGCGTTTCCTCACCAGTAAAACAGCAGCAAGACAGTACTTACCACCCAGGATTGCTTTGAGAATTAAATAAGTTAGTATTAATCATGGAGCACTCAGAACAATGCACTTGGTCAGCAAATATTAAATAAATCAAGTGCTAAGAACACAGAGTCTGGCAGCCAAACTCTTGGCTTGATTGTCAGGCATCGTGTGGCTCCTCTCTGGGCCTGTGTCCGTATCTGCAAATCGTGGACAATGACCATCTGCCTTATTTAACAAAAAAAAAAATAAGGTTAAATAATCCGTTTAAGAACAACAGGGAAAGGCAAAAGTAACTCCACCCAAATTTTCTGACAAACAAATTATCTGACACTGATTAAAATAAAACAAATATCTGACACTGGTTCCCTTATTACAATTTGCATCCCTGAGCCCCGGAGAAGAGGGGCTGGAGCCACTCCCTTAGTGGCCATGCAGCCACCACCTTGGACACAGTGCACCCAGACACCTCTGGTTTGATGCTCCCAAGTGGTTTCTGTCAACCAAGTCACTTAGCCCAGAGTTTTCAAACCCACTGATGAAATGAAGTTGGTGGGTCACATTGTTTTTTTTTTTTTGAGACAGAGTCTTGCTCTGTCACCTTGGGTAGAGTGCAGTGAAGTCATCACAGCTCACTGCAACCTCAAACTCCTGGGCTCAAGCAATCCTCCTGCCTCAGCCTCCGGAGTCACTGGGACTATAGGTGCACACCACCACACCCAGCTTATTTTTCTATTTTTAGTAAAGACAGGCTCTCAGTCTTGCTCAGACTGGTCCTGAGCTCAAACGATCCTCCCACCTTGGCTTCCCAGAGTGCAAGGATGACAGATGTGGCCACTGTATCCAGTCACAGTGCTATTTTTAAACAAAAAATGCATTAATAGAACACAGAAACTCTCAGGATGTGTTGCATGTGATACGGGTAAAGAACATTTCAGGCAACATTTGGTGGGGTGTGTTCTGGGTGTTAGTGTGAGTCACTGGAGTCACAGTGAAGAGTCTAAGTGCCACTGCAGAACCTGCCTTGTATCAGGGGTACCCCTGGGACTCCCCGGCTGGTCGTGGAAGTGCCCAGTAAATGCCCTCTGTGCCAGCAGAGGGCGCTGGCACAAAGCACCCACTCAGGGATGCCCCAGTTCTCCCCCTGAGCAGGCGGGCTCAGCTAGGGAGACAGGAACAGGAAAGTGGGTTCACCAACTATCCTGCTGAGGGCAACGGCCTGGCTCCAGAGAGTAGCAGAAGGAGCGCAGCCTCAGGCCTGGCCTTCCTCGGCTGTTCCTGGGTTTCCCTTCTGCTCTTCTCTTCCTGTCACCTGCTTTTCTTCCTCAGCTTCTTCCCTTCCTCTCACTCGGCAGCCCTCTCCCTTAGTCCTTATTCTCCCTGCTTCTCCTGTCTTCCCCCCCAAGCCTTCACCTCTCTGTCCAGGACACACACACTCACACAAATATTTCTTCAGACGATTCAGCCTTTATTTTTCAAAATAATTCTGTAGCTTCCACTTTTTTCCATGAAACTGAGGTCAGGCAACAAACAAAAACACACAAATTCCCCTCCAACCTGCTGTGTGTACCTTGGCCTGTGAGGACACGAGGAAGGCCGAGCGCGGGCGGCAGCCAGGGCCAAGTCTTCCAGGTCTTGGCTGCTCTCCCTCACCATGAGAGGCCATGAGAGCCACAGCCCTCAGGGAGTAGCCTGTGCACCAAACCCCAGGGGAAAAAAGGGGCACATGGAGCTAAACTCCGTCTTCCACCAAGCCGGCACGGCACGGAACCCTCCTAAAGCAACAGGGAGGGGACCAATTTTCAGAAAGAAGGGGTACAGTGTCTCTCTGAGCAAGATGAGGGAGCAGCTGTCCCAGCCTGAGGCCTTCCTTCCACCACCTCTCCCCCAACAGCTGAACATGAGCTGAGGAGGTCTTGCTTTTCCCCTTCAACTTTCCGTCTTAGAACCACAAACTGCTAGGCTGCAGGGAAAGAAGGGCTGGGCAGGGGTCAAGGATAAGGAGACAACGCCACCCTGGCCCTGACAAGGAAGCCCTTTTGGTTAGTCTCATTTTGGCCACAAATATGCCCCCTTCTCCCATAACCCACGGCCCCAACTGGGAGAAGGGGAGAAAGGACACAGGTAGAAGAGAAGGACTCATGCCCTGGCTGCAAGAGCCAGTCAGGGAGAGGGGCCTGGTCACGAGGGGTGAAGTTGCCAATGTCTCTGCAGATGCCCCCAGAGAAAGCTCAGGACATGGACATTTCTGGTCCCAAAAAAGCCAACCGTCCCCTACCACACAGTGGTTTCTTGCTTAACACCCTCCAATAGACCCTAGAATGGTTCCCCTGGTCTGACTCCCTTGAGAACGAGAGAATAATCCTCACGTTATCATCTGTGCACTCGAATGCCACTCAAAGAAAAAAAGATGAATGGACCCAAGAAGGAAACACAGACAGGACAATGTAACCCCGAGGACTGTGGTCCCATCTCAGCTCATGATACGGCAAGGAAGGGGCCCAGGAGGGACAGTCAGGTACTGCTAATTCCAGCTGGGATCATAGCCATCCCAGGTCTGCGGAGGGGCCAGGTGGACACGGCGGCCCCGGAACTGGAAGGTAACAATGCCCCGGTAGCCAGCCCTGGGGACCCCGGACTTGAGGTCATCCATGACACCCAGGGCCTTGGCAAAGGCCTTGAAGCTGTCCCTGCCTGTGTACTGCACCCGCACCTCCCCCAGCTCCTTCCGATCATTGGTCTTCACTTTCTCCACCTGCAGCTGGGGAGCACCATAGACACGGGCAAGGAAATCCCGGTCGTAGGCTTCCCGCCCCAGGTATGACAGGTCCAGCCGGGTGAAGTGCACGAACTGCTGGTTCAGCTTGATAAACTTGAGGTGCTGGTCAAAGAACTGCCCGTGGCTCACACCCTTGCGGCCAAAGGTCATCGTTCTTGAGATTTCAGGGCGTATACAGGCCCGCCCCTTCCGCTGCTCGGGCCGGCGCATCCAGTCATCCCAGAAGGCCTTGGGCCACTTAGGCTCCAGCTCAGCCCAGAGCTCAGCCAACAGCAGCCAGCCCAGACCAGGGAAGAAGTCCGTGCGGTAGAGCAGCTCGGGCTTGCTCGAGTCCACCATCTGCTCCTTGCCATTGTCATTCCAGGCAGATACACACCAGAGGGAGGGATCAGCCCTCAGCAGTGGGTAGGTGGCCTGGAAATACTCGAAGAAGTCCGGGGCCACCTCTAGATCATCCTCCACCACCACAGCTGCTGGGAACTTGAACTCATGGAAGATCTGGCCCAGCGCCCAGCGGTAGTGCCGGGCGATCTTGTAGTAGCCCTGGAACTTGCGGTGGTCAGGCGGTACAGCAATGTTGCTCAGGTCGGGTTGGCGGATGTGCGTGACTGCACTGCCATAGGAAGCAATGACCTGGGCTGTTTCCTCGTGCCCACAGTCCTGGCTGACTATGATGGGGAAGTGCTCAGCCGAGGGCCGATAGTGCAGCAGCTTGTCTAGGCAGCGCCGGACAGTGCTGCGGTCACAGGCGATGACCAGGATAGGGATCACTGCTGGCAGTGGGGTCACAGGCACACGTGGCTGGGCTGGAGGGGCCGCAGTGGGCACCCTCCAGCGCTGACTCCATAGAGCATGGTGCTCCCTGATCTGCTGCAACAGCCCCCGCTGGCGCTCCAACTCTACCTCAGCATCTTGGGCCAAGCGAATTACTTCTCGGGTGAGGCTGGCAGGGTCATCATCAAGAGCACTGTCCGAGGGTGGCCTGCCAGGCGCTGGGCGTGTCCAGAAGAAAAGGAGCAGCAGGGCATTCCAGGCCACAAAGAGGATAGCGCCCCACAGCACAAGCCCTGCAGACTGCTTCTTCAGCATCCTGGCCCCCACGGGGGAGCGCAGGCAAGGGGAGGGCTCAAGGCTGCCCTTGGCTTGCCTGGCTCACTCACCCAGTCCTAGGGATGCTTCCTCTGGGCTACCGGATTAGGAATAAGCCATGCACCTATAGAGAGGAGAGAGAAAACCGACCATCACCACAAAGGCATGTGGCTCCGCACCCCCAGAGGGTTGAGGAATGTGGTGGAGGATACGGAAACAGATTAAAAAAAAAGAGGGAGAAGGAAGTCCAGGAGGTTGACTCCAGAGCACTCTTAGAAAGAGCCGTCTTTCCCCTAATCTAGGCAGTCAACCTGCATGGCAGAATAGGATTAGGACACCATGCTCCACCACTCCAAAATGAGCTGATGAGTCCCCAGAAAAGCAACATGTGTTTGAGGGGGAGGCAGAGAGTGATACTGGTGGAAGGGAGAGAGCAAAATAACCCCAACTTCCCCTTCTCTATCTGACAGATTTCATTTCCCATCTTCCATCCAGAGCTTAGGGGGAAGAGCAAGGGGCGTGACCATAAGCCTCCCGTTCCTCAAATCAAACTGCCCCAAGATCACTGATTTTAAAAATCAAATATTATACATTAGCACTAAAGCTGGCACCTTACCTAACAAGGAAGCACCAGAGGCATTCCCATCAATGTCAAGAGCAAAGCCAAGCTGCCCATGATCTCCAGGGATATTTATTTAACATTCTGTTGGATGTATCAGCCAATGCAAATAAACCACAAAAAACAATTAAAAACAGAAATGGAAAAGAAGCAAAAGTATCTCCATTTGCTGATGCTGTGAGAACATGCCTGGAAAACAAATCAATGATAAAAACTAAACCAAACAAAGAACTGAGCAAGGTAGCAGGATATAAAAATCAACATACAAAAATCAATAACCTTCATATCCGCAATTAGTAAGTCATTATAAGAAATAATGGATGAGAAAACCCTATTTATGAAAACCATGAAAATGATAAAATATTTGGAAATAAACTTAACAAGAAACATTCAAAACCTACATGAACAAAGCTATAATTCCTGAAAGACACAAAAGAATACTTAAACATCCCTTACCCTTGGTTAGGATATCTCAGCATCATCAAAAATCCCAATAAAATACTTTTTTTATGGAACTAGACAAACTGACACTAAAGTTTACGTGAAAAACTAAACAACACAAGAGTATCTAGAAAAATAATGAAAATGAACTGTGAGGGGGGACTAGCCCTATGAGATATTAAAATACATACTGCAAAGCCTCTGTAATTAAAACTGTGTGGTAGGCCGGGCGCGGTGGCTCACGCCTGTAATCCTAGCACTCTGGGAGGCCGAGGCGGGTGGATCGCTCAAGGTCAGGAGTTCGAGACCAGCCTGAGCAAGAGCGAGACCTCGTCTCTACTAAAATTAGAAAGAAATTAATTGGACAACTAAAAATATATAGAAAAAATTAGCCGGGTATGGTGCTGTAGTCCCAGCTACTCGGGAGGCTGAGGCAGGAGGATCGCTTGAGCCCAGGAGTCTGAGGTTGCTGTGAGCGAGGATGACGCTACGGCACTCTAGCCCGGGCAACATAGTGAGACTCTGTCTCAAAACAAACAAAAAAACTGCGTGGTACTGGTACATAAACAAACAGGCCATCCAATGAAATAGAATTTAAACTCCAGAAATAAATGCACTACACACAGAAATCTCGTGTATGATAAAGGTGATAATTGAAATTACTGGAGCAAAGATGGTCTTACAGAGAGTTACAATAATTATATAGCTATGCCATGGTTTGAATATGGTTTGTCCCTCTGAAACTCATCTTGAACTTTGATTCCCAAAGTGGCAGTGTTGGTAGGTAGGGTCTAGTGGGAGGTGTTTGGGCCATGGAGTGGATCCATCATGAATAGATTAATGCCCTCTCACAGGAGTCAGTGAGTTCCCAAGAGACAGCAGACTGTTTGTTATAAGCAAGCCCAGTGTCTCCAGCATGACTCTCTAAACGCACCCATTGCCTTTTCCACTTTCTGCCTTGAGCTGAAGCAACATGAGACACTCACCAGATGGGCTGCCTGATCTTGAACTTTCCAGCTACCAGAATCACTGGCCAAATAAACCTCTTTTCTTTATAAATTACCCTCAGGTATTCTATTACAGCAACACTAAATAGACTAAGAAAAGCTATTTGGAAAAAAATAAAATTAGATCCATGCGCAAGAATAACTTCCAAGTGGATCAGAGATTTAAATATAAAAAATAAAACTATAAAAACGCTGGAGCAAAATAAGGGTAAATTCCTCTAGAACCTGGGTGTAGGGAAAGGCTTTCTAAGTATGACTCAAAATCCAGATGCAAAGAAAGGGAAGACTAATATATTTGACTACTTGAAACATTTTTACATGGATAAAAACACCATAAGCAAGTAAAAGACAAGTAACAAACCATGAGAAAATTTTTGCAACATACATCACAAATAAACAGCCAATACCCTAAGAGACAACAACCTTTCGAAAACAGAGGGTAAAAAAGGACAAAAATTCCATAGAAAATGCGACAAAGAAAAAGGTGACTCACACAAATGGTCCTTATATGAAAAAATGTTCAACTTCACTCATAGTAAGAAAAATGCAAATTAAAACTATCCTGAGATGATATTTCTCACTCATTAGACCAGCTAAAATTCAAAAACTTGTCCTTCTACTCTCTTAATGTCAATTGAAGTTCCTAATTTTGATAACATCCAATTATCAGGGATTTTTTTTCTTTTATGGATCATACTTTTGGCATTACATCTAAGGAATCTTTGCCTAATCTAAGATCACAAGGATTTTTCCCTATGTTTTCCTCTATAAGTTTTACAGTTTTAGATTTTACATTTAGGTTTATGATTCATTTTAAGTTGATTTTTGTATATGATGTGAGGTATGGAACTAATGTCTTTTTATAGTAGTTTGTCAAAATGCTAAACATAGAGTTACCATATGACCCAACAAATGTACTCCTAGGTACACATCCAAGAGAAATGAAAACATACGTCCACACAAAAAACCTACACAGGAATGTTTATAGCAGCTTCATTCATAATCACCCAAAACTAGAAACAACCCAAAGGCCCACCAGCAGGGGAATATGGATAAACAAATTACAGTTTACCCATAAAATGGAGTAATATTCAGCAATAAAGTCAAATAAACTGATATACACAACACATGGATGAATCTCAAAGTAATTACAGAAGATGTGAAAGACCAAAAAAGAACACATACACTATCATTCCATTTATATAAAACTTCAGAAAACAAAAACTAATCTATATTGATGGAAAGCAGATCACTGGTTCCCTGAGGATGGTGGGCGAGGGCCAGTAGAGAAGGTATCAGGAAGGGCATTAGGAAGCTTTTAGGAGGGTGTATGTTTATTATCCTGACCGTGGTGATCCTTTTTTTGACTGGTGTATACAAATGTCAAAACTTATCAAATTGTACATTTTAAATATGTGCACCTTTATTGTATGTCAATTATACCTCAATAAAATGTTTTTTTTAAAAAAATACATCATTGAGTAGAATGACAAAATTGGAATATAGAGACTAGGTTAATTGATTGGTAACAGCTATGGGTATATAAGAGAATATCCCAATTATTCAGTAATATATCGTGAAGTATTTAGAGGTAGAGGGCCAATTTCTCAAATGGTTCAAACAAATATATATATATATATGGAGAAAGAGCAAATGGAGCAAAACGTTAACAGATAAATCTGAGTCAAGGGAATATATATATATATGTGAGTATCCTTACACCATTTTCATTTTATCAACTTCTTTGTAAGTTTGAAACTATTTCCAAATGAAATTTCTTAAAAATAAAATATGTGGACACAGCACACAGCTCTAAATAGCTTTGTCCATCAACATGGCTCCACCTGGGCACATCAGTAAGACGAACTGAGACCACCTGTTTACCCTGAATGCCTTGGTCACTCGACAACATGTATCACACACCTGCTCTCTGCCAGGCTCTGGAAAAGGACTAGTACACTCAATCAACAAGAAAGAGGCAGGGTCTCATGCTCCGCCAGAGCCCATTACTTGAAAGGATCTGAAACACCATCCAGTTCCCAGATAGCTGCCATTCCAGACCACATGTCTCCCAGGCCCTCCTGCCTCTGGTCTCAACCCTTCATATCCCAAGGCTTCCGGCATATACCCTCTTACGCCAACTGCTCTACAGTTACCCTCTGCCTCACAGCTCACTTCTCTAATCCTAGCTAAAACCCTGGATCCCAGATGTAATCTCTGGGGCCCTGGGCTCTCAAGCCAGCAGATTTGATATAAAAAGGCTGATCCTGAAGGGTTTCTAAAGGGACCGGGAATCTGGAGAGACTCCTCCAGCTCCTGCCAGCATCCAGTACCACTTGTCTTCCTCCAGGAAACCAATTATCCCCAGAACATCAGTTTTCTCAGAAACCTCAAGTATGTTTCCATTTAACTGTGTAATTAAATTCCTATTTTATCAGCATTCATATACCAATTAGAGTTTCCTGGAAGAAGAGAGTGATGCACAGAAGATTTCCAGTTTCTTTACTCTCCCCCAGGATGTGGTCAATACTGGAACTTTCCCTCCAATTCCATGGCCAGGATTCCCTATCTCTCAGCTTCCTGCCTCCTAAGTGACTGGGCGGGAAAAAGTCTTTAGGTAAAAGGATGGGGAAAGTGGAGAGACACTGAACTCTACTAGCTGAAGTGCTGTTCTGAAGGCCAGAGGAACAGCCTGTCCCTGACTTATCAATGAGCCACCTCAGACCTGCAAGCTCTGATGGTAAAACTCCAATGGACTACATCTTCTCTACCCTTCAGATGACTTCTGTACCCTTCAGGTAACTTTTTACTTTTCTCTATACATTGGACTTAGGTGGCCCACTCACACTAAGCGAGGCCTAGAAGACCTCCTGCCCCACCCCCTCAAAGCCATGCAGATCAAAGCAATCTTCTGAGCACCAAGCTGCTGTACTAGGACCCCTCAACATTCAGATTTGCCTGGGGCCGGGCTGGTGGCTCACACCTGTAATCCCAGCACTCTGGGAGGCCAAGACGGGAAGATCGCTTGAGGTCAGGAGACCAGCCTGAGCAAGAGTG